TTAAGACCTGAGCTAAAAAGTCTGCAGGCGACAAGATTTAACTCTGAACGAAAGTAATATGAATGAATATTTAAGAGGATGGGGAAATTAAAATGAAGAGGTAGAAACCTTGAAGAAGTATCATCTGTATAGAGAAAAGTCCATTAGTTTGAATTATGATTTTTTTTCCATTTTCATGTTAATTAATAGTGATATTATAACAATTTTCCCCATAATACCTAGCACAGGCACTAAATAAATGCTACTGAAAACATTTTAGTCACCTCTTGAGACATGATAATCAAGTGTTATTTCTCATTTTCCAGCCTAAATGTAATAATTACTATACATGGAGAGTTTTAACCTTTCAGAATACATTTAACAATGTTTGCCCAGACTAGCAGTCAGATTACTCAACATAAATCCTTTATGAAAGATATTAGTGAATCTTCTTTAGTATGTATTGAGAGGAAAAGAAAATAGCAAGACACTTATTGGTTGACATGCTTATGAGGAGTCTGAATTAAAGTTTGATGATAAATTTTGACTTTGACTATTGCATGAAATAAAAAATGTACTGGGAACAACAATATTGTCAAATGATGTATATAGTTTAACGAGGAAATCTACCTCCCCTTCTAGATGATTCTATGTGTCAGTTCAGTAGTGAGTAAGATAAAGTATTTAATAATGAATTAATGGAAAAAAAAATAGGGGAAGAATAACGTGTGCTTACATATTTAATTATTTTGTTTTGTGTACTTGCATTTGTAGGATTAAAACAACCTTTGCTCAAATTTTATGAAAGTTTTGTTTTGTTTGGGTTAGTATTTAATTTACGTTGACAAAGCTATAATGTCTAATTAGTTTTTCTCAGTGAAACTCATAATGAAAACAATGGATGTTTTAAGTAGTTGTCTTTTAAAGCAAATATACAAATTGCTTTCAAACACGTGAAAAGAATGTGATTGTCCAGTATGTATTTATCATCTTGACCATGAAAGCAGAGAATAAGCAAATGTAACTTATGAAGCCAAACACTCAATTAGGTGCATAACAGAAAATCGCTTTAAGAAACTATATTTCCTTTCTGGGCTAGAAACAGGGCTATCTATCTCACAAGGAAGTGTCCTCTACTTGCACAGTAGAAAAATACTGTTCAATTAAGAAAACCCATGCTAAACCATGTTTAACATAATTCTCTACAAATATAACATATTTAAATGACTTAGTACCCTGTAGCAAATCTGAACAATTAATTTGAATAAAGCCTTTTAAAACTTCATTACTAACTTGCTGAATCAAAGTGTGGTGATCACTAACATTCATTTTTGAGCATGTGCAATTTTGCTTTTATTAAAGAAAATGTGAATTTGCTTATGGAAACATATGCTGAGCAAATATTTAGTTTGCAAATTTAAATACAGTAAAGGAATGCCAAATTTGCAATTCTCTACACAAATTCTCTATGCTGGTATATTTCTTCACATAAATTTTCTGTGCCGGTATATCCTGTATTACTTCATGTCCTATGTTGAAGACACATTGTTGCATCAATGAAGACTGATTACTGCATATGTGAATATGCATATAATGAATATCCAGCTAGGCACACCACAGAAATAAATTCCAATCTACTGTTAGCATATTCAAACATTCAGCTTGAATGTATTATTCTGTAACCTTATCTGTAATCAATCTTTATCCACAAAGTTCACTATTATCTCTGAATGCCACCATTTTGATAATGTACCTTTCCATATAAATCCTTCTTTTTACTGATCTTCTCTTCCATTTCACTCCTATTTCTTTTTGTTGATGGCCTGTTGTTTCCTGTTTCCAAAAGTTCACATAAGGAACCCTTATGTCTTGCTCTATATAATCTGTACTCTGTTAGGAAAGTTTTGAGGACAAATAATAGTGGAACAGTTTTTCCAAAAGAAAGTATAATACTTTTTGTCCATTAACCTAACATGTACAGCAAAGGCATCCTGATGACTTTAGTGCAACTACTGTGTTTGATTCTTCATAGAGATCTTATAACTATTTTTTTTCAATTATTCATAAACTCTCTTACAATTATTCTCTTCCATTTGCAATTTATTCTTTAAAGCAAGCTATTCCTTAAAGTTGCTTTTCTTTTCCTTAATAAGTAGGCTTATATCCTTATGAGAAGAGACCTTTAATCTAGACCTCTTTCAAATGCCATTTTTCAACTGTCATATATAATCTCTCTCCTAAAATAGCTGAATTTATCGATATGTCTGAAAATATAAAACGCTCTCAGTCCTCACTCATAATTCTATAGAGCACCAGAGATGGTTGTCTCTACTACATCCTCATACGCCAGATGGTGCAGACATTTAGGTCTCTGTTGATACCTTTTTTTTTTTTTTTTTTTTAAATCCAAAATATTAGCAAATTTACTAGAATTCCAGATATCTCTCTTCACTAGTTTAGGATTCTAAAAGACATCTTGCCAACATGCTTTCTTTAGTCTGTAGGAAAATCTGTATTTGCTTTGCATCTCAGATAGTATTGCAAAGAACAACATAACAGCACTGCACAAAAGGGCCACTCTGTGGAGGAGCCAATGAGCAGATGGAAAAAAGATCAAAATGGAGATTTTTTTTAGTATAGAGAAACCATTGGTAAAAAAAAGGAAAGGCAGAAAGCACTGCAATGAACTCTATGGTAGTGACAACTCTTTAGGCAGACAAAGACAAATAGAAAATGGACATTTTTGAGCTAGCTGAGCTTTCTATGTAAGAATTGTGTGTTGAGGACATTCAAAAGGCAGCCGAAATGCACCACAATAACCCAGCATCACTTGCTGACAAAAAAAAAAAAAAAAAAAAGCATTTACGTCACCTTTTAAGATTCTAAGTCCCAATTTAAGCATACGGCTTAGTATGGCAATAATGCATGAAAATACCATCATTATTTCCATTTTAAGCTTTTCATAGAATTTTTGATGTGAATATTATTTGAAAAAGGAATACAGATTTACAACTTTTCAAATCACAAGAAGTCACAATATCTTTTACAGCAATATTAAAATATCTTTAATAGTGCGTTATTGTTCCCCATATTGGGTATATAAATTAGAAAAGAACACACTTTATCATGTAACCTTGCATTTATTCTCTATTTCTATTCTTCCAGATTTTCTGTACAATTACATTTTTTCTTGAGTCTAATTATGCTCTTTTTACCGAGCTAGAAAAGGCTATTTTTTAGTCAAGAGTAAAGAAAACTTAATGATCTTCTAGACATTTTACTGATTTAACCAAATCACACTTTTGTCATTGTTAACTCATTTTCTATGTATCTACCTTTTTTTTTCCACACTGAAACAGAATCTTCCACTGCATTTCCTTGCAATGATGACAAGGAGTTTTTGGAGCCCTTCTATTTCTAACTTTTTAATCACGCTATTTCTTCACCTAGCTAAGATCCCTCTAAAATACAAGCATCTGTTAATTACATTTTTTCCCTCATCTTTAAGCTTTGCTATACCAATGTACATGATGTATGCAAATAGGGAACACTTCTAACATTAAATAATGGGGCTCCCCACTCTTATCAGTACAGCACTTTATTTAGAGCTTTAAGTCCACGTTTCTTAGATGATTTTTAAATGACTTTGGTGGACTCCATAGGGCTTACTAGTATTTTTAATTGCCTTCAGTGAAGAACTTTGTCAAAAGCCTTTTGAAAGTCCAAATAAATTAGATCAAGCATTTCTTCCTCATCAATTATTTTGATGACATGTTCAAAGAAATCTAACAGATCACAGAAGGGTTTCTTTCAGCAAAGCTAGTCTGGTTTCTTTTAGTGGGATTTAATCTAGAGTTTTGTTCATATTTCTATTACTAATGAGGTGTTCAATTCATTTAGTTAATTCTGAAGAAAGGCTTCAGGAAAAAACAGCAAAAAAAAAAAAAAAAAAGGATAAAAAAGGTCCAACATGTATTAACCTTTAGTTTTTCCATAGGCAACTCGTGTTAATAAAATTTTGCATCTGCTCATTCTATTCTGTTCCTCATAAATCTTGTTTGTAGCCAGTCAGCCATTCAATCCTGCTTTTCTCAAAGTTTTTAAATTTCTTAGTATTTCATTTAACTGTCTTAATTTAATATAATATCTAATCCTTACTTATTATATTTAATATATCTAATCCTTAAAAAGCATATATATTTCTTAGCATATACTGTAGCAGAATATACATAAATACATATTTTGAGCCATCTTTTGAGCCACATCTTTCTATATGTGTCTCTTTATTCTTTACCCCATAGCAGATATAATGATAATTTCTTAAGTTTTCTGTTACTTATTTACCTGAAAACTTTGTAACATCTTTCATCTTTAGCTATACAGTCTTTAGGTTGCCTCCTGGACTATACACTACATCTTCCTTTCTTTCCTGTCATATTAGATGTTATTTTAATTGTTCCACTTGGTTTTAATTTATGTGTTACAAGATATATTTGGGATAAAAATAATTTCTTACTTCTTGCAATTTTGTATTTATTTAATCTATTTTAAAATAATTTTATTGATAATATAAGGTCTGACTTACCATTTGCAATGTCATTCAAATGTGGATTCACAGTTATTATAATTAGTTTTAAGTTCACAAAAGACATTTGCATTTCTACTTATCTTTAATTGCAGGGATTGACAATTGGACATCTAAATATTGTCACATATGGCAAAAAAATTGAAAGTCTATTACAAACAGTTGCTAGGTTTGAATAAAAGAAACATGGTAAATCAATTTTTAAAATCATTTTTTACATCAAATATTTTAATTAGAAATTGTTCATCTAAATACAGCTTTTCTACAGCTTTTTTATGGTGTGATTTTGTGTTAGAGAAAGTTTCATTTTTCCATTTTTCTTTTCTCAGCATGTATTCCCTTTATATCTCTTTCTGCCACGGAGAATTAGAATATATATTTTTGTATGTTCTGCACAATGTTCATTTGCAATAATTAGATGTTATTACTTTCCTACCAAAATAAAATGATCCTGACGTTTCCTTTCTTCCAGAAAGCTCTGGCAGACTTTCCCCAGTCTGGGTAGGGTTTGTCCTGAAGCATCATATCAGTGACCTAGAGAGGAAGACAAAACAATGAACAGTTAAACTGGTGTCACAAAAGCAAGTGCTAGTTACGACAGTAAGTGCATGTTTTTTTAGATAGGTTGTCTGTTTCAGTTGTGATAATTTTAATAATTAGATCATAAAAAAATAAACTCTCTGGTGTTCTTATTCACAATGAATTTAGAAGAAAATGAGAAGACTTGTGGAGATCCTGAGATAAGAGGACAGGAGTTAGTTTAAGTAAACAAACTACCTGAAAGGAAAAAGTTAAGAAACCTAGGGAAAAAAAAACAGTATATAGACTACTTGCATATTACAGCTATGAAGCTGACACACATTTGACTTTCCTGGCCCAGTTCACTGACAGCAGCATCAATAAAATTATGGCTCTGGAAATATGAATTGTATTACAGGAAATAAAAGCCTGTGGATTAAGTGCTATATGCCATTTACAATCTTCTCCTGATCCTTGGTATTAGAAAGGACAACAGGTCTAGCACTAAAGTTCTCCCCAAAACTTAGATCTTGCATAATGTTTAAAAATATGCAATGCTTAAATCCATTTTCGGTTTTAAGTGTACTACCTAATTTGGATATATATGTACTACCTAAATTCTTCTGCTACTTAGATGCATGCACTATTTCTGCACAGCACACTTAAAAATGGGTAATGACTCTAAAGGAAATGAAGAACCCTTAAGTCCACTGCACTGCTGGGAAAATGCATTTTCATATTCATTTATTTCAGGTTAACTGTGCAATAAAACAAATAAAATTACATTAGATTAAACTCATCAATTCTGTTGTAGAAAAAAGACCCAGAAAATTGGAACACCTATGTATACATATAAATTAAAAATTAACTGAACAAAGAAGGGAAATAGATGCCACTGTTTGCTACAAAATACAAATAAAGCAAATCTTACTATCTTTCATTGGCATCAGTACACAGTGGAAAATTATTAATGAGATTTCAGAAGGAAAAAGTTGTTCTCATTCACTTCTATTGAAGTGAACACTTCTTATTTTTACTTTCCATTGTATTTATTTCGATATATAGAATTTTAAAAATCAAATTTATCATGCAGAATGTGAGCTGCTACTTTCAGTCAGAGGCATTTACCAGAATGTCCAAAAACAACACAGAGCCCATGATTAAAGTAGATACACAAATTCAAATTTGAAATTTTGGTTCATAGCCGACTTGAGGTTAAAAGAGCTCGGCAGCTTGCAGGATTGGCTCCAAATGCATATTTCAAGCATATTTGGATTATAAGTAGAAATAAGAAATCTACGGTTTTACGATTCCATGACCGATAGCCTGAAGAAAGAACAGATTATATCCTGAAATATCATTTTTACTAATTGTTTTCTGCAGGTATTTTTTTCCTAAGATCAGAATGCTATCATATTTTTAATAACCAAGCAAATGTTTTGATAAATAATGCCAAATAAGGCCTCTCTAAATATGTAATTCTACTCCTTTAGTAATAATTCTCTTAAGAAGACTCTTTGCAGTAATAAATATTTGCAAATAAGAACTGTTATTTGTAAAAGTTTTATTCAATTTTCAGAATTTTTTCTCCATGTGCTTCCTGGGAAATACTTCTTACAGTTGGTAGAAGGATACAGTTTGCTGCTGTATGACCAATTACTACAGCAGTGCACTTCAGAAGAATGACATTCAAGAAGGAGACATTTTCTGGGGAAAACAGCAAGACGAGGCAGGAAATGTTCTTTGTGATAGAAGACATTTGGTCTTTCATCTCTTAGCTTTGGCATTTATTTAAAGTCATATCACCAGATCAATGTCAGGTCAGTCGCAGCTAAATTGGCTGAAGCAGAGACAGTCGTTAAAGGGATGCATTCCGTAAAGAAAAATCCAATTACCTTTTGCATTAGAGAAATCAAATTCATTTTCTGGTTTGGTCAAGGACAGTCATTGTGGGAAGTGGCTTATAGGAGAAAAGTGCTCAACACTGTCATTGTGCAAATATTGTTTGGATAGGAACAACCAAGCCTCATTATTGCTCTTGGAATGATGTTTTTAGACAAAGAAACAAAAATACAAAAACATAAATTTAATTTACACAGTTTAATATAAAGATGAGTGTGTGTGTGCACCTCTTTCAGCTCACAGTGCAATTACTGGCCAGCAAACATTTCCCTGTGTTTTACAGGGCTGAATTTGAAAACACTGCTGATATTCAGGAATAGAAAATAATTGCTTGCCTCAGTAAATCTATGCATGCATCTTATTTAATCAAGATAAAAAGGAGAGCGCCACTTTACAAAATAATTAGGTAATGTATTTTTTTTTCTTGGAGCACTAGAGATGTGATATTACACTTTAATCGATTAATTACACTGATTCAATACGGAAAAAGAATGGCTTTTTATAATGACCGCAATGACTCTCATTTTTCGTGTCTCATGAGAGTAATAGCTGCATTGCATGAAAGTGCATAAGTGACACTGCACAATTTTTAGGTTACAAAAGGCATGGAAAAATATTTTCATTTTAAAATGGAGATTAACATGCCTTGTAATATGTTATGGAACCTTAGATTTCATTTTGCAAAGTGTAGATATGACTATTAAGTATTCATATTACTCAATATTCATATTATTCAGTTTATATTAACCATGAAGATAGCTTACAATACATTTTTAAGGAAATTTTATCATTAGACCTATGACAAAATAGTATGATTCACTATTTTTATTACAGAAAATCAAATGGCTTTTTCTGATGTGTGAAAAATTACACTGTATCATAAACATGTAGGAACCCAGGATTCAAAATCAAGTTCAGTACAGGTAATTCACAAAAACAACATGTGCAGAAAGTAAAATTATAAAGCAACAATAGAAAAGAAAAAAAAAACAACAATAGGATACCCTAAAACTCATTTATTCCATCCCTATAGTTTCTGCTAGAGCACATTGGCCAAGATGCTCAGCCCACCTTAGGTCAAATAATGCAGCAGGACAAGTCACACCGCCCTCCACACCAGAGGCAATATCTGCACTGGGAGTTTCAGGTAAGCCTACCTACTTCTTCTGGTGATAAGCTAACTGTAGGTAAAACTTCCTTAATAATAAAGGAGAAAAGAACCTAGTACTGTGGCCCTTCAGCCATCCAAATTCTTCACTAGTTGGGACTCTGCTGTGTCTTCAGAGCACAGTGATAATTCCTGGAAAAATAGTGTGCTGTGGGCTGCTGGCCAAGCTATTTTCATCTCCCAAAGTTATATTTTAGAAACTTAACAGTACAGAAATGTATGGAGTAGTTTTGTGTTAGCACTTCTCCACATAAGCAATAGCAGAAACTGCATCTTGAAAGAGAAATGGGCTCTGGACAATCCCTCTTAGGCTGCGACGTATTCCAGGCAAAATGTTACATGCATTAAGTATCAATGAACATTCAGGGGAGGATTTTCATTGCTCTATTCCTACTTTGATAAATTTTTATGGTATGACAGCAGCAACCTTCCAGTTTTGTCGGAATATAGAAGAAGTCATGATCCACAGGAAGGGCCAATACAAAACGTACGGTAAGCTCTGAAACCTTTATTTCTTAATTCAGTCATGAGTTGTGAAAGGTCTAATGGACAGCAGAGCTGCAACACCTTATATCAATGAAGAAGTTACTTCATGGGGCTATTGCTGAGAAACAGAGGAGCTGGAATAATCACAGAATTGGTTGAGGCTGGAAGGGACCTCTAGAGATCATCTAGTCCAACCCCCTGCTCCAGCAGGGACACCCAGAGCATGGGGAACAGGTAGGTTTGGAAGGTCTCCAGAGAAGGAGACTCCACAGCCTCCCTGGGCAGCCTGTGCCAGGCCTCTGTCACCCTCACAGGAAAGAAGTTCTTCCTCACATGCAGATGGAACTGCCTGTGTTGCAACTTATACCCGTTACCTCTTGTTCCGTCACTGGCCACCACCAAGTAATCTTGATTTTGTCAAAATTATTAATAAACATGTAAAAAAATAGGCAAAATTATTAATAAACTGTTGCCGACGGGGGTCGGCAAGCCTTGTTTGCTAGCTGGACTGACCTGGGGTTGTCCTCACCCCAGGGCCCTGGAGCACAGTTATCACTATGGGGGATGCGGCAAAATGGYRWTTATTGCRYAGTTCAGTCTGCCTATATACTCCAGCTGAATGCGGAAACACACCTACTGCCCAATCGGGAGACTAATTTCTACTTTTCGCCTTGTATGGCATGGGGTTATCAGTAAACTGCATAAATTAATTATACTCCTAACTCCCGTGACATCGCGAGATCTTCCGAGCGCCATGCCCTAAGCTCTATGCCCTATACTATACTATATCATCTACTTTCGCTAAGCTCTCTAACTTATTAAGCCCTAAAAACACAAAAACGCCTACANTGTTGCCGACGGGGGTCGGCAAGCCTTGTTTGCTAGCTGGACTGACCTGGGGTTGTCCTCACCCCAGGGCCCTGGAGCACAGTTATCACTATGGGGGATGCGGCAAAATGGYRWTTATTGCRYAGTTCAGTCTGCCTATATACTCCAGCTGAATGCGGAAACTCACCTACTGCCCAATCGGGAGACTAATTTCTACTTTTCGCCTTGTATGGCATGGGGTTATCAGTAAACTGCATAAATTAATTATACTCCTAACTCCCGTGACATCGCGAGATCTTCCGAGCGCMATGCCCTAAGCTCTATGCCCTATRCTATACTATATCATCTAYTTTCRCTAAGCTCTCTAACTTATTAAGCCCTAAAAACACAAAAACGCCTACAATAAACATGTAAAAAATAGGTAGGATGATCACCCTGCTTGCATCAAAAGAACTGTCAACATTATATTCTAAGCAATGTTTTACAATAGCAATGTCTATCGTCAGCATAATTTAATTTTTTCTCTAAAGTATACATTTCTGCCACTGTTATATGTATAACAAGTATTAGAAGTTAAATTAGTGTTGTTTATTAAATTCATGGTGTTTGATGATGTCAAGGTATGAAGGCA